TCAGATAAATGGCACAAAGTGCATTTTGGTTAGCGTGTATAATTGAAGGGAAATATGCAGTATTCTAACATGATTAAAAATCAGCATACAAATTTGTTTTTGCCTATGTAATTATTTTGATCATACAAATAATTATTTTTGACATTCAAGTGTTGGGACATGTATAATTGCTAATATCACTGAATCATTTGATTCATAGTAAAATTGCTAGAATCTTTCTGTATTTTTTTGGGCATGGATAGGGTATCAGTTTTCTCTGGCATTTGGGCCACCTTTTAGTGGTTGTGGGTGAGACTTTATGTTGTTTAAACTCATCAAAATGGGTTTTGAATTTATCTTTTAGTTTGTAGGGATAATGTAGGGTTGAGATGAAAAGAATATTTCCTTCCTGGTTAGAATTTGATGCTCTGAGAACTGTGGTTGTCTGTATGAATTACTGCACGTCTATTTGCGATAGGCTGAGGCAAGGCACAATGTGGCCTAAGGTTGGATTGTTTTCATCATCACCATGTCCTCCCATTTTCAAATATGTGAAAGGAAATTAATTACAAATGCCCTGCCACAATTCTTCAATGTTCTTTCTATGTTAAAAAGTCTGTAATTTGCATAATATAAACTGATAGATTCTTTTATGGAATCAACATCTTGACCTAAGTTATTAAATCTTAGGCTCAGATTATTAAATGCTAGAAACATGTACTGACAGGAAGAATCAAGCATATCATGCCCAATCCATTTTGCATGAACAAATCAAATTTAACATTTGAATTCTATTGTCTCGCAGATAAAAGCCACCTGCAAAATTTTGAGGGATGCATGAAAGTACTTCATGCTGTAGAAGTTGTTATAAGGTGTGATAAAGTACTTAGTTGGGATTGAGCAAATCCCAAGTCCTTAAACTAGATTAGGGGGGGTTAAAAGTCAGATACCTCCTAAAAAAAAAAGGAAAAACCAAAACTTGATTACAGAGGAGGTAGGTTCTCCAGGTAAATTGGAAATAAGAGGATCTCCCAAACCCGAGGCCTGGAGGTTAAATACACTACCTTTGAATTCAATTGCCTAGTAAATAAAAGACTCTTACAAAATTTTGCAGGATATAAGTACTTCCTGCTGCAAATTTTGTTTTAAGGTGTGATAAAGTGCTTGAAAATGTATGAAAGTTATATCAAATAATAGCACTTCTTATATTTTATTTCCTTATATCCTTAAAACACATGACAAATTTCAATACATTACTTATCTAGTTTGTCATGCTATCTGCAAAAGTGAAAATCTGACCCAATATTAATTTCATATCAATATAAATTGTGATTCTATACCACCAAAAGCACGTACTAGATGGAAGATAAGTAGTGGACTGCAAAAGTTTTAATCAAAAGATTTGGAAATTAATGTTATAAAAATCACTTAATTAAATTTTCTTCAAACATTTCTATATCTATTTATGATATTACTGTGAATGAACGGCCTCTCTTTTATTATTAGAAGGTTTCTCTTAATATAATGGTTTGTGTTTTATAGTCTAATATAATATTAAGTCTATAAAATACTGTTTTGTACCACTAATTACAATTTCATTTTTAACATCTGAGTTCAGTTATTATATATTAAGTTTATATCCAGTTGAACAAGAAGAGTGGTATTGGAAAACAAGAAAAATATGAAAGAGCAATGAACAAAATTAGTTCCATAACCTGCACACACCATTTTTTCTCGTGCCTGTTTTCTTGACTTCTTCCAACTTCACTAACCTGCACACGCCATTTTTTCTTGCTTTTATTTTTTTAGTACATTGATGGTTAACTCCTTAGTGAAACAAAGGTTTAAATCTTTAATTTTAGTTTAAAATTAAAAATTTTAAATTAATAGGTATCAATTTAGTCAAATTCTTGTTGATCTAGCTTTTATTAGCATCATCAGCATCATTGACCTCGTATTAGACTAATTTGGTAAGTATTTTTGATCAACGGCAATGGATTTTCCCAATTGTTTGACCAAAGTTGGTATCGTGCTGCCATCACCGTTTATCAGTCATAAGTAATTGAGGTCAATAAATCATGTCCATAACATGTAACTAAACACATCCATTTGCCCAAATACAGCCGAATATATTTGGTTTTGGAATAATTTGGCTCGAATGTAACAGAACCCAGCAATAGGATTGGATATGGATGCATCCCACCTGTCAGATTTTTTCGATTCCAGCAGTTGGGATGATCGAACCGTTTCGTGACGTGTCTCAATGAAATTGCCACATCATATGACACGTCAAGAGGTGCTGATCCAGATAAGAAGGGGAGTAGATTTTAAGAGTTTCGCTTGTGTCAGGACCGTCACGAATCGTCACTCTAGAGAAGCCACCACTTAGGGGTGCCAATTTTGTTTCTCGAGAAGTTTTGTAAGAATTTTATTGT